ATCTGGTTCTCAAATGAATGCAAGAGGTTCTGAAACCAATGGATATGGTTCTAAAATGAATGCAAGAGGTTCTCAAACCAATGCATATGTTTCTCAAATGAATGTGGAAAGAAGAAAGCTTCATGTGAGTTTCAGTTCATAATTTTGTAATTTTTTTTACCAACTTCATGTATATTACAATGATTGGTAAACTTTTTTTTTTTTTCAATGCAAATCAAGAAAAGCTCATCACATGCAACTTTGCAGCAAGGTGTATCGAGTTATGTGAATCTATATGCCTCTACCTATGTGAATCCATCTGCTTCTATTTCTGTGAATCCATTTGCTTCTGTGCATCCAACTCTAAGGCAAGTTCCAAGACTTTGGGAGTTAGCAGTAGTGATCCATGGAAACCACCATGGAAAGCACCAATGAATTGAATAAAGTAGAAATTCAACTAAAGTGAAACATATTCATATTCTTGACTATTTTGTGAATTAATGAAGTTGGGAATATAAAAGTATTTTGAACTGTTGGATCTTTCAATTGTTGCACCTTTTGAATGTAAAAGTATTTTGAATTGATGCATGTTTGACATCAGTTGTTAACATTCTGAAGTTTTTTAGTTGCTGGAACATTTGTTATGTAATAGCATTTTGAAGTTGTTTTGGAATTAAAAGTCACTTTTTTGGAATTAAATGTGAGTAGCAAGTTGATTGTTAGCAGTATTTAGCATTCTGTCATATCAAATGAGTAAACACCAAATTTATTGTAGCATGAAAGTGTCAAGTTGCTGTTGAAACAAATGTCAATTGAATAAAGCAATTTGAATCAAAATAAAGCTTCCATTCTACATTCCTTGCAAATTTCGAAACCAAAAGAACTACAACATTCAAAATACATAACATATGGGAATGGTGCCAACGTTCAATTTTTTGCTAACTTCATAACCACAATCATTATCAACAACACATAAATTAATAGTAGAAATCCACAAATCAACAAAAACAAATCCCTAATTCCATTTAGGGAATTTACAGTAGAATCTTGCAACCTTTTGGGCTTCTAAAATTCATCTTCCAAGCAGCCATTAATGCCTTCACCTTCTCTCACTACTTGATTCCATCTGCTTGCTTGATTGAATCTAATTGGTTTATCATCCCAAATAAATCCGCACAATAAAGTGTTCCCTGCCTAGCACAATTTCAAAATTGATAACACAAAAACCAGATTCACCATTTATACCCAAAAATTAACAAAAATAAATTTTCTTATTACATAAGATCTAGTGCATTTCCAGAAACATCTCCCACGAGTCCTATCTCTCTTGGAGATTCCCAATCTCATTTCGCCATTACAAAATTGACACCTTGGAGCTTGGCCAGAGTTCAACATCTCTCAAACTTCCCCCAAAATGGCCTAATTCGAATGTGTAAGGCTGAGCCAGTATTTTGGGTTTATAAGATGGTTCGATTTGATTGTAATATCCTTCCATGTGAGGGGCACGTGCTCAAGGCCTAACATAACTAAAAGGAATCTAACGGAAATTGAGAAGTGTCCTCGAATTGCTTGGAATCCTAAACCACAGTGGCAAAAGTGACGAAATTGAAACTATAAGGACCTTAGTGGTAAAAGTTGGAAACCGCATGGACTACAAGTGTCGTTTTGCTATAATTCTATAATGAGGGCTTTATATATGGGCCTTAGCTTAGGTAAGGTCTTATGTCTTAATCGTTGGATAAAATTGGTTAGCCTGATCCAACGGTTAAAAGATAGTACCTCATCTAAGGGCCATATATAAGATCCTTACTATAGAATGACTCGGAGTGGAAGAGAATATGCTAAATGGACCCAGAATCAGAACATGTTGTAGTCCAGACTTCTAAGCCCACTTGGAAAGGATTTAAGGCCGAAATATTATTCAAAGTCATTATGCTAAACGGACTAAAAACATATACTAGCCCAAATATAGCTAAATGGCCAATGAGTTCTCATTTTTGTCTTATATATATATATATATATACAGAGAGCTTCCATTGAGGGATCCCTCAAATAAGCTTATTGGAGGAACACCCCTTGTAGGGCCCACTTCAAATTGTATTTCACTAATCCAAACCGTCTATTTTGTAGATACTCATTCAAATATCATATCTACAAAAAATCATTTGAATCCGATATCATTTGACCACTCATTTGAGTTATTAAAATTTTAGTACTTTCTTGAAACACTGTGTTCATTGATTTTGTAGGACTCAATTGGATGTCGAAACGGTTTCCGATTTGTATAATTTTTTGTAAGGATGATATATGAATGAAGACCTAAAAAATAGATGGTTTGGATCATTGGAAAAAAAGTTGTAGGGTACCCTAAAAGGTGTCCCTCAAATGAGGGACGCCCTTTAGGGTACCCTACAACTTTTTTTGCATTTTGTATATAGCATTGGTGCTCAAACAATACAACGGGGTCCTTCAAATCCACTCACCACCACCAACACTTGAGTTTGTAACTTTAATTTGTAACATTGGTACATTGTATTTTCCTTTTAGTTTGTAACTTTAATTAACTTTGAATTGGATTTTTCCTTTGGGTTGTAATTTTAATACATTTTGCATTGCATTTTCCTTTTGGTTTGTAACTTTAAAGGATTTGGAATTGGAATGCTTGAGAAGTTGAGGTTGTGAATGCTTGAGAAGTTTAACTTTAACTGGAATGTTTGGAAGTGTAACTTTAATTTTCTTTAGGTTGTGAATGCTTGAGAAGTTGAGGAGGTTGTGAATTTATATATGCTTGAGAAGTTGAGGTTGTGAATTTATATTTTTTGGGTTAAAGTATGCTTCAAATCAAAAGGCTTCAAAAGAAGCATCAAAATTAGGCCTAAAATGTAAAAGATTAGATTTTTATGACAAAAAAAAAACTTGCGGTTTTAAACTGCTAATTCATGGTAACCAACAGCTTTTTGCGGTTTCAAAAATCACAATACCGCAAATAGTCGGTCAGTTTGCGGTTTGGACAAAAATTCGCGTTTACCGAATCACAACCACCCCTAATACATATATATATATATATATATCTGTGTGTGTGTGTAAGTGATGGGAGTGGGTTTTTTTTTTTTTTTTTTGGTTTAATAAAGTTTAGAGAGTAGTTAGCTACCCTCACCACCAGAGTCAGAGTAGACCTATAACTTCGAACCGAAAGGATTTACACGTAACATTCAACTGTCAACTGCCACGAGTATGAATTTACGTAGAAAATTACAAATCGCGGACAGCAATAAGAGTTTGAAATGTGCGACTTCTTTGAAAATTAACAAACAAAAAATGAGCGAATTAGATCGCTGCATCAGAATAGTAAACAATTTCATTTCTCCATTGGTTTCAATCCTATCAGTTGGCACATATTTATCGTGAAGCAAATATGACGTACGGGAGATGAACTTGCAGTTATCTGCCTGCTGCAGCTGCAGGTCACATGTCATTCCATATGTTATCAATAACATTGGCCCCTCATCAATGGATGGACTGGAACTGTCGATTGTAAGTGCATATTTGAAAAGGCTTGAAAATGTGATAGATTACAGTAAAAGTGTTCACTTCACTCTACAAGTAGGTGAGGTAGGTGCAGAATTCACACTATCATAATTAATTACTGAACAATGAGCTGAAAAAGGAAAAACAAGAAATTAATCTTATTCAGAATGTTTAAATACCCATGTAGGTGCATGGATTCAAAAAGCAGCAGAATAAATATTTTTTGCGAGTAAATTTTAACAGTTAAATTTTCAAAACTAACCGTGCATTGTTTGCATCCGCGCCAAAATCATCGAATGTAATGCAAACAAGAATTGTATAGTGAGGGCATTATATATAGTCCTTAGGTGAGGCATTATATTTTAACTGTTTGATCAAATTAGTCAATATGATTCAACGGTTAAGATATATGACCTCATCTAAAGGCTATTTATAAAGCCGTCACCATAGAATGAATTCTAAGCCCTATCTCTTCCCCAGCACCTGTTTCACACCCATGGGCGGAACTAGGTAGAGGGCTACCATGGGCTCTAGCCCAGGTAGCCTTTTTATAAAATTAAAATATATTACATATATTTTAATGTTATTCATCCCATAAAAACTTAGTAGCCCACTCAAATGTAGTTTTGTAACCCATTGTCTACTCAATTTTTGTAGGCATATAATCATATTATATTTAATTTGTTTGCTCAATTAATAAAATAATCTCTTAATAAACATTCATGATTTTAACTCTCAACCTTTTACTATTTTATCCCAATCTGTACTTTAATATATTTCTAGAAAAACGATAGAAACAGTAAGTATCCAAACAAAAATTGGTCCTTAGATTTTAAGCTAAACAACTTTAATTAGCCCACCTATTGAAAAATTTATGGTTCCACCCTTGTTCACACCTCATTGAATTGAAGTTACTTTGCATAATATATTATTAGAACTAATTAAGTGATGTTTGTTTAATGACAATACAATATACAGATTCGCAGATATGTTTACAGTGATGTGATTAATCGTCAAGACTTGTGCAAGCTCTTCAATTGTTCTGGCATACAGGTTTCAGCATGAAACGTGTATCAGCTGGTTTTAGCATGAAATATGTACAATTAATTAATGTTGTGAAGGTGAAATATCTTTTTATCGTGTGGGCTTTTTTGGGCCTTCTACTTTATTTCACTGCCTGACTTTTGGGCTTTTGTTTTTTCTGTTGTCCCAGGCTGTTGCCGCTTCGCTCTTCTTCTACAAATGTGGTAAAAAGTGAAAATTTCAGAGAAAGAGAAAAGACTATTCTGTACTTACCGCGAAAATAATGAGAACGATTCTCCTCTTCTATTCGTGGGCCCCGTCTTACATTGCATGTACGGTGCGGATTTATTTTGACTCGGGATGCATTAGTTGGAATAATAATAATGTACGTCTCAGATGGCGCCGCTGTAGATGAATAGCGATACACCCTCAGCGGAAGGAATACTTGACTCGGATCCTCCCTCGTCCTCTTACTCCTTTTTATCCTTTCTCCATGTGTGCCTTGGCCCTTCGCGAGCCATAGTTGGACTCAGACAGTCTCCAATCCATCGTCACAGCCCTTCTCTTACTCTCTCTCTCCCTCCCTCTATATATATTTTTATATAAATATATATAGATATCTTCAGCTGTGTTTGGAATCTGCAAATTCAACATCAAAATGGGGTCTGAAGGATCAAGCGTTGTCGGTGAGCCCTGCTGCAAAACCTAAGATTTTTTCTCACTCTCTCAGTTATATTTGCATTCATTTTTTCCATGCGTTCATCTAAACATAGCGCCAATCAATTCTTATGTGTGGATTTGGTTCCTGAATCGTACGTTTTCGTGCCCAATTTATTTACTTTTTCTATCTGAATTTAATTGCTTTTTTGTTCGTTAACCTAGTGAAGAAGTTGTGCTTATCAATTTGCTTTCATTTTTATTTTTATCAATTTGGTTGCTGATATGTGTCTGGATCATAATATTTTTAGGATAGTTGCTTAGATTTGTTAGGAGTTTCATTGCATTCTGACTCTCTTCTAATGCCAATCAATGTTAGTATCAGTTCCTTGAGTCATTTTAGCCTAAAGTATCTGTAAGAATCGCATCATTAGAGTTTAATATAACAAAGAATATTGTGTTGAAATTAGTATGGAACAGAACAGTGCACATAACGTATGCATTTGAGGTACTATTATGTTTTAACACCTTCCTGATGTAATTACACTAGTGTAGCCAGTACAGGTGTTTAGGGCTAGCTGATGTTATGTCAATACTAATAATTTTGGCTTATCTTTCCATTTGGCTGAAGATTTTGAACTGGAAATTTTTTCTCTTGATGTCAAAAAATTGTTGTACATAACAATAGCATGAGACAAGATAGAGACTTAAGTAAGTTGTGTTGTGCTTTAGCCACTCCTTTCTTCTTTTTCCTTTTCCATCTGTATTTGGTTTGGCTAAATTATGATTTACGAACCTCCATTCTATCTTCTGTATGTGGATTCATCACATAAACGGGGTTGTACCATTTTTCTGCCCTCGTTCTCACACTCATACTCGTATCTTGATGTAAGTTAAGTAATTGTGTTGGCACAAACCAATGCATCAATTCCTTCATTATCTTCCTGTTGAACATATACTCCATAGTTGAATCTAACAGCCTCAAAGTTCTAGTATCTTCTCTTACATGGTAGTTCTTTCTAGCATCTTCTCTTACATCTGAGTTCATGTAATTTTTAATATGGAAGACATGATGATTCATCTTTAGATTTAACATTACGTAAGGAAGGACACTCCAAAATTGTGTTCAATTGGATATCAAGATGTTACATTTACATCGTAATTTCGCAAGCTATCTTGAGTTATTACATATCTTCTTATGGAAACGAGCACTATGAGGGCAAAGATCAATTTAGAACACCACTACTTTTGGTCTTGAGAAAATGCAATCAGAGAAATGTCCATGTCCATGTCTTTCTAACACTAGGGTGGTTCCACTTGTCCGTAACCATTTCTCATCTGGTTTCCCCAAAGCAGGGTATAGAGAGTAGAACTGAAAATTGAGGTGTTTGATGTATTGTTGCATATTCTTCTCATTTCTCTCTTAAGTTAGAAATTATAAGTTAACAACTACCTCTTGCAAATGTTCTATTGGTTCTCTCTCACTTCAAAGAATAAAAGAAAATAAATAATGGCCACCATTGAACAAAGCCTTTTAGTCTTGGTGTATTTTTTTTTTTTTTTTTTTTTTTTTTTTTTTTTTTTTTTTTTTTTTGGTGATTGCTATACTATGGTATTCATTCTCTTCATGCATGAGTTGTAATTATATCTCTGGGGTTTGTTTTTCGTTCACAGTTCCGAGGAATTTCAGATTGTTGGAAGAGCTCGAGAGGGGTGAAAAAGGAATTGGGGATGGCACTGTTAGCTATGGGATGGATGATGCCGATGATATATATATGCAGTCATGGACGGGGACAATCATTGGCCCCCCCAATGTAGGTTTCTTACTTTTTTTTCCAAATGCACTTCTAAATTTATAATATGTATCATGTAATGGTGCATCCCAAATGATGTCATTCTTTGAATATAGAAGATTAATGTCTTGCTGATCTTGCTTCTTGCTAGACTGTGCATGAAGGGAGAATTTGCCAGTTGAAACTGTTCTGTGGAAAGGATTATCCGGATAATCCACCAACTGTTAGGTTCCAAACAAGGATTAACATGACATGTGTCAATCAGGAAACTGGAGTGGTAGGTGATGTTACCCTTTAAATATTCAGATAATATGTTCCTATGGTATGGTTGAAACTAGCTGATTGGTGGACAAATTACCAGGTTGAACCCAGTCTTTTCCCCATGCTTGCAAATTGGCGAAGGGAATATACAATGGAGGACATATTGACACAATTGAAGAAAGAGATGATGTCACCACAAAACCGAAAGCTCGCTCAGCCACCTGAAGGTTTGTCAATTCCTGTTTCTTGCTGCACATACTTTACTCTTTTTTAAGTCTCTATTGATTGAATTTAATTGCTTGTATTGCTTTCTTTCTGCTCACATCATGTAGAAATGGAGAGTTAAATATTTGAATATGAATTCTCAGGCAATGAAGATGGAAGGGGTGATCAAAAGGGGCTTGTGGTGAAATGTTGCATTTTCTAAGGTGAGACTTGTATGAGCATATGATACCGTATATAGCATATAGGTTGAGTGATACCAGTTACGGAGCATATAGGTTGAGTGATACCAGTTAAGGAGCATCTTTGTGCTAATCCTGACAAATGTAATTAAGAATTGCTCCCATCTGGAACCATGAGCTGTTTGTGAGATGTAACCCTATCCGTTACTGTTTGAGGCTGCAGTTCAGAATATGAACTCTTTGAGCCTGCAGTTCAAAATGTAATTGAGGACTGTTCTATGAGGAACCTTGATTGGCAATTCAAGACCCCATTTCAATGAACTTTGAGCCGTATTTAATCGGTTACTATGACATATGGCTATGCTGGACACACACACACACACTTGTTATGTTTTCATACAAACAATAGGAACATTACACACACGTAGGACAGTAGCTGAATACAAGTCCTTGATGAGGAGAGGTTTCCTGAATTCTTGTGTTTCTAGAAATGTTTGAATTTTCCTAAATGTGACTGCATTTTGTTTGGCTATTATTGTATTTGCAGAATTGGGTGACAACTCCGTAAGTTTCTGCGGATGTTATGTTAGGGTGGCTGTTTCTTGATTCTCTAACGTGAATGCATTTGAAATCGCACCAAATACCGAGTTTGTTTTTGTGGGTAAATGATATGTAATTATATGAATCAGTGAATTACGAAATACCGATTCTTCAATGTTTTTTTTTCTTTTCGTGTCTGAAGCCCTCAAGTTTGGATATGAATTCTAATAAAGATGATGAATGATCCAATATTTTATAATAAATAATAATGTTGAAAACGAGAAACATCGAGCATGGCCTTAGGCTATTACGCACGCTAATGATGATTTGTGTGCTAAGAGAAGACTCGAGCATTTTATGGTTCTTGTTTGTTAAGCTAAACATGACATGCCCGTAAAAAATCCAATGTAAGTCGAAAATCTTTAGTATATAGATACAAAACGTTTGCGTCTGAAGCAATCAGAAAACAGAATCTCTGTTGGCGTGCACATTTTCATTTGGTTTGTACCACCCGCATGTATAAATTATGCAACGCATCTTCTCTTATAGGTGACGCGTAATGGTTCTCTTCTCTGTTCATTTGGAAATGTTGTATTTTGGTTCAGAGCGTAAGTGGAGGGATGTCATTGAATTTTCATATATAATAATAATAATAAAAGAAGTAGAGATTAAATTTGTTTGACATTTGGGCCGCTAAAAGGGAGTAGCCGTTGAAGTCGACAAAGTGATTGAGGTTTCTCAGAAGGATTGACTTTTGAGTTAATGGCGGTTTGCAAATGTAAAAAGGTATCTGCGCGTCCCAAAAGACGAGGCCAGAGCAGATGCCGAGAACCCTGGAATAACCCTGAATAAAGTTTTATTAATAAAATTGTATTTATGTTGAAGTGAATTTCAGTATCCGATGATGAGAAGCTAATGATTCGTTTTCTTTCCCTTATTCGGAAGAAGTACACTACAACTACACACAGGGTTCACAATTATTGGTACTTAAAAAACAACCAAAAGTGATTGTTGTCGATGCAAAGCAGCTTCCTTTTGTGGGTCTGGATGGGTGCGTGTGGACAAGGCAGGCAGGAAAGGATGAATGAGTACGAGTGTTCACACTGTGGATGACAGATGGGGCGAAGTGACGTAAAAGCATATGAGTTTAGTTGAGTGCCCACCCGCTGCTTCCTCCCTCTTTTGGCTTTTGGTTTTCCCTCTTCCTTCTCCTATTCCTCTTCCTGTAAAGCAAAAGCAAAAGCAAAAGCAAAAGCAATTAAGCAGCCAATCACGCCTCCTTCCTTTGTTATATTTTACTGTTATTTCCGTGTAGTGTTGGAATAGATAGCTTTAGTTGCCACAATTCAGCATAACTAACCATTTTTAATGTAATTAATTCTTTCTCCAACTAGATTGCGTTAGAAATGGAGCAAAACCCTTAAATTGTTCATAAACAAGGAATGTCTCTCACCTCAAAACAAAGAATGTCTCTCACCTCACCCCCACACACATCCATGCTTATTTTGAAATTCCAAGCCCATGCCTAAGGAGCACTAATTACCAAAGAAAATTAAATAAAACATTAATGGAGAATCCTTCTTTTGAAAAAACACATAATGAATAATGATAGATAGATTCTGTAGAAGAAAATAAAAAGGAACAAAATCCATTTATTGACTTTGCTCACATTACCCAAAATTCCTTCACCTTATTTTTCTTTGAATAAAAATAGTGTTTTTTTCCTTTATTACAACACAAAAATAGTTTCCTTGCTGAGTAAATCACTCAACAAAAATAAATAAAAATTAGAATTTGGAAAAAGTGCCGTTGGGAAGATGCTCTCCTTTGAAAACAGGAGAGAGATGGTTTTTGGTTTTGGTTTAGAGTGGTGATTTCCCCACTCCTTTTTCTTCTATTTTATCCACTTACATTCCTTTTTTATAACTAAAAAAGGAGTGTAAGTGGATAAAATAGGAGTAGGGAAATCATTGCCCATGATTTATACCTCATTGCTTCGCTGTGTCATATATGTGTCACTATGTGCTGCTTGCCACGTCTGTCATAATAAAGTTAACAATAAAAAGTAATAATAAATGTCTTATAATTTTGTATTTATAAAAAATAAAATTTTAAAAAAAAACAGGTGGTAAAACTTGGGGCCAGAGTCAACGTGAGGGGCCAGGGGCGTGCCAGCGCTAAGCTTTTACGACTCAATTAATAAAAAAGAATCAGATATGTATCGGCACAGCATGCCATATAGTTTTAAATTGAAATTGGCACCTGTTTTTTTATGTTTTGGGGTCTTTATAAATATATATTATGAATCTGACATTTTCGAAAACAAACCAGAAGTCGCTAAAGTTGCTCCGCTCGTTTGTTATTAGGTTGCCTTTCCTTTCCTTTCCTTTCATCCATCATTCGTTAATTCACCTTCCTCAAGTTTCAAGTTTCAACCTCCGACCTCCTCTATCCAACCAAACACACACCCTTTGATTCAAAGATATGGGTTCTTCTTCTTTACCGGCTAACAATAAGTTCGTACCCAATGAACAAGACGTTCTGCAGAGACATGTAGCCTTCTTTGACAGGAACCATGATGGCATTGTTTATCCATGGGAGACTTTTCAAGGTTTTCATTTGTTTCTTCCTCAAAATCTACCTAAGATATTATCATTATTAAAACATAAGTGTGTATTAATTCGATCTCAATTGCAGGTTTTCGTGCAATTGGCTGTGGCATTCTGTTGTCCACAGTAAGTTCTTTTCTCATCAATGCGGCCCTCAGTCAGAAGACGCGCGAGGTATCTCTCTCTCTCTCTCTCTCTCTCTCTCTCTCTCCACTCCAACTTACTACTGATTTTAGTTAAAAAACCAACCCCCCACTAATTTCATAATTTCTTCTCCATACTCTTTTTCTGGTTTTTGTACTTTGTGAGTTACAAAAATAAACAAATTGTTTTAATAACGAAATCAGTTACAACAAGTAAAAAAGGAATGAGGATTATCATGGCATTAGAATAAAATTTGCTTTCTCAGATGAGAATATTTAAAAGTAAAGTACAGTATAGATTTGTCCAAGTCTCTAGAGTTTAGACACATGGGACCATTCTCATCCACATATTTCTAACTGAACCTGAAAAATATCTATGCATTTTTAGACTTGGACTTAGTGGCGCTGAAGAATGTTTGATCTGATCACCACAGCACAGCTAGCACCCCTGTTTCTTTACCCTTACGAGAGAATTCATCCTATGAGAAACACTTGCATGAAACGAATAGCATTATTTTGTTATACTTGATTAATCACAGTATGTCATGCGTGATAATTTTTTCATGTGGCAGTCTGTGATTAGTCAAGAATAGCAAATTTAAACATGTTATCTCCGTTTCATACAAGTTTTTCCGTCATCCCAAACTAAAAATGGTTTTATACTTAGATGGATTTAGTTATGAAAGTTACAATGTCATATTGCAAATTTCTAATCTTTTGTATAATTATGTTAATCTATATGAAAGAATATTTGGTTGAATGTGCAAGCATCAACTTGTCAAGAATAATACACGTGACATTAACAAACAACAATAATTTGTTTTAGGGAAATGTATGATGGTCTGTTTCTGTTCTTCTGGCTTTTGCTGCTGCTATTATAATAATTTGTTTTAGGGAAATGTACAATTAAGTTGCATGTGCACGAGTGAGAGAGTGAATTATTGTATGCGGTGTGGTGCAGGGAAAGTTCCCTTCTCCGCTTCTTCCCATTGAAGTCAAAAACATCCATAAAGCCAAACACGGGAGCGACTCCGGTGTCTATGATTCTCACGGAAGGTATATTTTAATATTGCTTGCTTGCACAGGGAAAGTTGAGCGCTTTTTGGACATTGTTGTTGCTTGCTTCTGTCTTTTTATTATTATTTCCAGAAGGCAGAATCAAAGCTTCTTTTCTTTGGGATTTTATATTTAATTACAATAATAATTGTCCAGGTTTGTTCCTTCAAAGTTTGAAGACATCTTCTGCAAGCATGCTCATACGCATCCCGATGCTTTGACATCAGATGAACTGATGGGCATGCTCAAGGCCAATAGGGAGCCAAAGGATTATGCAGGATGGTAGGTTTTGAAAACCCTTAATTATATATGTCCCCTAATTAAAGAGAAGTGAAACGGAGATGATGAAACCAATATTTACTGTAGGGTTGCCAGCTGGACAGAATGGAAGATCCTCTATGTTCTTTGCAAGGACAGCCGTGGTTTGTTGCACAAAGATACAATTAGAGCTGTTTATGATGGAAGCCTATTCGAGCGCATGGAGAGGGAGAGAATCGAAAAATCAGCATCTAAAAAGAACGAGTAATTTAATAATTTTTTTTATAATCATACTGGATTTATTTGTTCCTAGCTTATTGGAAAAGTTGGTTAATAATGATGAATGGATTTATTTGAACTCTATTTCCTACCTACATTACGTGTAGATGATGAACAAAGGAAGATGAATTATATTGGGAATTTTGTTTCTTAATGCAGTGTTGTCTGAAAGAAAAAAAGGGCCAATTGTAGGATGGCGTGGTCCAATTGGCCCTGCCCCTGCTGGGTGGATGATCTGAATATACCAACAAGACTGTATATTTTTATTGTGTTTACTGTTCGTATCGTTTAGAGATTGTGGAAGAAGTGCTTGTTAGGTTATGTGTGTATAGTTTGATTTTTCATAGTCACAAGCAGCCCTGTATTGGCTTCAGTTTCTTCGGGTGTTGTTCAAGTTTCCGATGTGGGATATGATAATATTGTATTTGATATAGTGAATATGAATAATTTGATATGTTCGTAAAGGGTTGTCTATTAATAGAGGAAACCAGTCACATATTTTTACAGAAAGCCCAAACCCATCCCAATTCCAGTTCGTCTCGGTCCACGAATGCAAATAAGTTGGGTTTTGATACGTAGGTCCATCTGATCTTGACTGGCCCTTGAAGAAAATTTCCGTTATCTTCTACTGAATTCTCATTTATCAAAGAAAAATTATAGAATATAGGACATATAGATTTGCTTGTTCAGAGTACATGATTTATTTATTTTTTAAAAAATATTTTGCCAAAGTTAGGAAGGGGAAAGAGAATTTCTCACACACACTGCTAAGTTGACATATGAGTTTGAACTTAAGACCTTTAATATGCAAGTTAATGTCATTTTCCACTGAATTAGACCTTGTTGGCACCACAAAGTGCATGATAGAGAGAGAGAGAGAGTATTTGTATATTAAATTGAGAGCACAGGGGATAGCTACGTTTTTCCTTAATATATAACCATAACCCTAGCACATGATCGGTTGGGCATGGGCATGGCCAGCTCTGAGAAAGAGTCGAGACAGAAAGAATGGTGAAGGTACCAATCAAGCATTATAAGCAGTGGTGGTGGGAAATCTTATCTGCAGGGGCAAAATGACAATGGCATGGTCGGATGGTTGAGGCAAAAAAGCCGATTGTTTTATTGTGGGCACATGAATATTCAAAAGCTATGGAAAGACAAAGACTAAGAAACTTCATTATTGTATTGTTAGTTACTCATTTTTATTATTTTTGAATTTGAAGGTGACCTTCCTTCCCTCTTGCAGTTGCTTCCTTTTCCGAAATTTCCACTTGATTTGATGATGGAACAACCCTTCTTGCTCATCTCAGTCCACCCAACCCAACTTCCAAGTCAAGTCTCTAATATTTAGTGAGTCAATTGGGGGATAAAGGGAATATAGATTGTTCCTAAACAAAACACATGTAGATAGAAATCAGTCCATTTCCATCGCTTTGGCATGAAAATGTGCATGTCTTGTGTTTTTATTTATTATATATTTAACAAAACCAAAATCATAAATAAATAAAAAAGGATGACATCTTCTCCGATCCTGATTGGAGTATATCGTATTCATTTGTGGAATGAGAGAGAGAAAGAAAGAGAGAGACGTTGAGGTATCAATACATAATAATAATATATAACAAAAAGGCAGAGTCGTGGCACTAATATTATATATATTTTATTTAGTTTAGATAGATCATATCTTTTTCCCCTCATCCTTTCTTTTTGCACCTTAGTCACTGTACTTATTATAATTTATACATTCGTGTTGTTTTCTTCATGAACCTTCCGGATATTAATAAATTTATGTTGTGGTAAACGTTGAATGATTACTAGAAAGAAAAGGGCATCTCTCTCAAGTCACAAATGAACATCATTTTCTTTTCCTTTTTTCCTTAGTCGTCGTACGTATATACCTAAACTCGCAGGCGTTGATTTGAAAGTCAATTAATAATACGGCCCTAGCTTAATTAAGGGAGCAGTTGAAAGTTAATTATTAATTAATTCAACTGATACTCTTTACAAATCATTTTCGAATCATTTTCAAAGCTTTAAATTGTAACTTACGTTATACTTGGTTTCATGGGAGCTTCATTTGCTAATCAACACATTCATAATTTCATAAATAATTTATGTATGTATAAATTTAATGCCCAAAGTACCTTATTATTCAGAATCATTAGTAGAAGTAGGTAAATCATACAGAGAATAGTTTGAGGCTGGTGTGGTCAATCTGTCAACCAAAACCAGTCCCCTCAACCATAATTGACTTTTAAACTCACTCATCACTAAACTTTCGTACTCGTAATAATGCATTTTAACTTCCCAATTAACCACTGATGACTCAGTTACGCTCACATAACATACCATAAGCACCCACCCCAATCATAACCAATTCATAATTCACATAACATAGACATACCATACGCACCCACCCCAGGCATCAAGTTTCTCAGCCCCTTACGTAAATTCCCCTCAAAGCAAAGCCAGGCATCAAGTTTCTCAGCCCCTTACGTAAATTCCCCTCAAAGCAAAGCAAAGCACTCTCTCTCTCTCTCTCTCTCTCTCTCTCTCTCTCATACACGCACGCACCTACACACCCACAGAAAAAGAGTGTAGCAGCCTATGCCTTTCTAACTGTTCATATTTGTTATTTGACAGCACCCCATCAACAACCTCTTCAATATCTTTCATACACTTCATATTCAAAAATTCTCTTTCTAAATTCTCTCTAGCTAGAGGAGCTGCCTGCCTCCAACCCAATTCGACATGTCTTTAACTTCTCATCAAACACTTGTGTTTCTTTGGGTTTTCCTTCTCGCTACTGTTTCTTTCCTCGCAACCCCATCCGCCTCTGCAATTAACTCCTTCGTCTTCGGCGGCTGTTCCCAGCAAAAATACCTCCCGGGTTCGCCTTACGAGTCCGGAGTCAACTCGCTCCTCACCTCCCTGGTCAACTCGGCCATGTTCACCACCTACAACAACTTCAGCATCCCCGGCTCCTCCTCCCAGGACACCGTCTACGGCCTCTTCCAATGCCGCGGCGACCTCAGCAACAATGACTGCGCCCAGTGCGTCGCCCGCTCGGTGAGTCAACTCGGTAACCTATGCCTCAACTCGTGCGGTGGCGCGTTGCAGCTCGAGGGCTGCTTTATCAAGTACGACAATTCGACGTTCTTGGGGGTGGAGGACAAGACCGTGGTGATCAAGAAATGTGGGCAGTCGATTGGGTTTGACTCGGACGTGTTGACCAGGCGCGATGCCGTGCTGGGGTATCTTGGGACCGGAGACGGGACCTACAGGCCGTACAGGGTGAGTGGCTCCGGGAATGTCCAGGGTGTGGCGCAGTGTGTTGGGGACTTGAGTCCGAGCGAGTGCCAGGATTGTCTGTCGGAGGCCATCGCGCAGCTCAAATCAGGCTGTGGGCCCAGCGCGTGGGGGGACATGTACTTGGCTAAGTGCTACGCGCGGTATTCGCAAGGTGGCTACCACTCCTCCAACGGCGGTCATGGTAAGCAGTTTCGCCACTCCGGATGGTGGTTTCCACTTTCTGGGGTTTGGTTATTTTCTCTCTGGTTAAAATGAAAATTAACTTTTTTATGTTTTGAAGAATTCGAATTTACCAAGATTCCCATGTAAGTAGTAGTAGTGAGTAGTACGCGTGAGATACGTCTCTGGATTGGCTATTTTGGTAAATTCATCTTTCTTTTTATGCCCTTTTTTGTGCACGTATAAGAGTGTGCGTTACTACTACTACTACTACTACTACTAGAAGAGTGCTGCAATTATAAAAATCCTTGTCCCCTGTTTAATCAGTGAGCAGGGTTTGGTTTGATGTACTTTATTTGCGCCTGTGTATAGAGTGTTTGGTAGTGATTAGAAGTACTTAATTAGTTTTCCAGAGTGGTTAACTTATTATATTCCTCTGCTTTTGATGGATAATGGATTTTGCAGTTTGTGAGTCCAGCGATCCCTGCCTTAACAAGTTCGTTCATATTGTGTATGAATATAAACATGTTTTCTTTTTTCTTTAATTGATAGTTGAGCCATGCAAAGAGAAACAAAATAAAATTGCATTACTCAAGTAATTGGACTTTTTCTTGTGTAACAAAGAAGCTATTTCAAAAGCTCATTGTAGTAATAATTTGTGCATCTCAATTGGGACACCCACGTAGAATTTCTGCCCCATCAGGAATTCATAAAAGGAATCCAACACCATGGCGCTAGTGATGATATCCAAAAGTGACCCGTTTGTTCTCAATGCTTGAATCTGATGAGATAACAAAAAACAGAGCCTCCGTCCGTATAATAAAATTACCACATTGGTGAAAATCAAGTATCAATCAAACACTGCATAATCTGTTTAGGCTTGAAAGAAACAGATTACACTCAGTAATATCAACATTTTAAACTAAGGTTGGATCAAATCACCATACTCATTCATTCATAATTCAGTTTTTATTATTGACTGCTACTTTATTCTGTTTGCTGTGCATAAAGATAAAGTGATGGTATCTTTTTCTTATGGTTTGATGTTTTTCTGCTTCAGTTGATCCCAACGATGATGATGATGATGATAATAATGATGAGCTCGAGAAGACACTTGCAATATTGATTGGAGTCATAGCAGGGGTTGCACTGCTCGTCGTGTTTCTTTCTTACTTCAGAAAGTATTTGTGCGAGGAAAAATGTACAGTATATATTCTCTTTCTCTGCTCTCTATTCCCACTCTATACCCTCAACAACAATGCATGTCACGGAAATAACATTATTTTGTTATTCTCAATCACGCGTATATACACCGTCAAAACTCTTACACTTGTTTTATGTATTAATTCTTTCGCAGGTGGTAAATAAATTACAGATCGTGGATGGATTTGAATTACAGCAGCTGTTTCTTTCTACCCCTGGTAATTTCATTTGGCTTTCGGTGGCCTCTTTTTTGCTTCAATTCTAAGTTGTTGGCCCCAGCTTTTGTCCTCCCTCCCCTCCATGGCTGTTTGAAGTTTCTGGCACATTTCCTTTTGTAAAGAAAACGATGCGAGGGTGGATAGAAAGATGTATATGGATAAAGCCATAAAGGTACCTTGAAACAAGTGAAATCAAACTCTGATGAATAAGAAGAAAAGGCACAAAGATTCCTCACTCCTTGCATTGCACCCACACAGTTCCACTTAACTAGTCTTAACAATTTTAATTCGATTGTTTTACAAATAATGTGTAGAAACATCATAGATTTGTGTGAAAAAAGTAGACTTTGTGCTGCTTTTCTTTCTTTCTTTCTTTATTGTCTTTGTTGAGTGTTATGAAACTTTTGATAACTTTATATACAGAGTGGGAAACTTTACCAAAAATTAAGTTGTGACATGTTCATCTAATTTCATGCCAATTCAATGTCCATTTCTTCTTCAATAATCTCATTGCTGCTGGTATGTTTTTGGTTCTTTGTTAGGTGAAGTTAGCTATATATATGAATGAGAGA